TTCTCTCGACCGTTTCAACCTGAACCAACATGATAGAACTTAACATGACTATAACCACATAATCTCATTAAATTGCATAAGAAGGACATGAACATGGCTTGGAAAAATGGTTGTAGCGTGCGCGAAGGTGCGACCCGACGCTACGACCGATATGTTCGGCCACTTAACAATTTTTCCAACCGTTTATCACATGAATCGACCTAACTGATTATAACATGAAAGATTATACATAAAACGGCCTGATGACATGAACATAACTCGAGCAATAAAAAGGGTCGTGGCTTCCGCTACGTGCGGTACCCTACGGCTTTGGCCAACTCTCGGCATAACGATGACTTTCCTCGAAAAACTTAACTTAACTGAACATGAAATGACATATATTGGCTGAATAAACGAAAATTGCTCGAGAGTTTCAGAATGAAAACGAACATTGCTCGACATGGTTTAATTTGTACGGCCGAGAGCGATTATAAACAACTCACGAACTTGACTACCTGACTCAAGTTGAACATGATGATATTAACTTAGAAAGTGGATCAACAAGTGATTACCTCTTCAATCGCTCAGTTGATCGTGAAAATTTCTCTTGATAGCTCGGCCTTGGTGCTTCCGTCCGTGCGTACGGCTTCTTTCGGTGATGGCTAGCTACAGTAGCTCTTGCTAAATAAAATGGCTTCTCTATACTCTTTCTACTCCCAAGAGCTTCTTGAACATAGGTATGTGCTAATATACACGGCTAGAGAAGAAATAGCTCGGTACTAGAATTCTTTTGCTATTGTACTTGGCTATATAAAAAGAAATGGTTTGGTGTATAAATCTCTCGGCACTATCTCCTATTTTCTTGGTTATAGCATAAAATGGAGTATCATGTGAATTTAGCTAATGCTTTGTGAAAATAAAATCACTACCATCACTCCAAGCCGTATGTATATACATATACCATGAAAATGTTAGTAAGCATGAGGTGGAGATGATTAAGGACACTTGCCCTTCTCTTGCATTTTGGTGGCGCATGAAGTAGCTTAATCACTAGCTAACGTGTCATCATAATATGACACCACTTGCACAAGGTTAACTATTTGCTAGCAAGGAAGTGAATTACTTAAAGTAAGTTAATCTAATTTCTTAAGAAAATAATCATGGTTTTGGCAAGACAAACATGTGGCACTTAATCACACGTGCATGAGCAAGGAAAATGGTCTCCATTACTTGCTTATACTTGAACTTACATGTACTAAAATACTTAGAAATTTTCTCCATTCCTAAGCATAAACTTGGCTAAGGTTTGCATTAATCTTGACCAAACTTACTTAGTTTTGGTTGGAACTTGACTTTGAAAATTAATTCGAACATTATTTCGATTTAAGCTCATTAATTCCAAACTCATTTATTATAAAAATGAATTGGAATTAAATCTGAAAACTTATTCGGTTACTGAAATAATTAAACTGAATAATTTATCGACTATAAATCGAACTTTAACTGAAACTCAATAACTGGCTCGAACTTATCTTTTGACAATTAATCGAATATTCTAAATTCAATTAATACGTCAATATTGAAATAATTAATCCCAACTTACTGATGTCCATTTATTAATTAAACAGACTGAGATTAATTATTATCATTGACTCGGTTAATAAAATTAACCAGATATACTTTCGACTTAACGTCGAACTTGGAATTTACCTTAGCTGAATAACATAATCTTGAACATTGACATGATTATTTATTAAATAAGGCTAGCTTATATTTCAAAGCTAGTACTTTCCTTATTAATAAAAATTTGGGGCGTTACAATCCACCCTCCTTAAAATATTTCCGTCCTCGGAAATACTAAAACTGGAATGTACAAGCTTAACATAAAGCTTATACTTACCGATAACATAACTTGAGAATTCAGTATTCTAATACTGAACGATAGACTTGATCTGAACTG